CTCTTACTGTTTGTATACTGTTTTTTTTTCTCTATCCACTTTGCTGCTGCAACATCGGAATTTCCCCATTGTGGGAATTATCTTATCTTATTTTAAACTTGTTTTTGTATAAAAGTATGTATGAAAGAATTGTATATACCCTGGAAAATTGTACTGTGAAGGATATGTAAGTAAGGTGTAAGTCAAACACCACAAATAAATGTCCAACTTTTGGAGTTCCTGGAGTCCATGGGAACATAATGTAGTAAATTGTAAATCAACTGATAATTACCTCATACTTAAGGTAGAATTCCGAACAAGAGGTTTTGTAAGGGAAGAAGCATATTCTTACCTTACAAAGTGACTTACCCCGTTTCTGCATGAAACTGAAAAGGTCATCAAGAAACTCTTTGCGCTTTTCGTCATCATCAAGTTCATATAACTGAAAAAGAAAGGAAGAAATCAATGAATAGGCTAATGTAAAACACATTTTCACCAAAGAAAATCAAGAACATGTTTGATCAGCGGTAGGTTGGTGAGGCCTGTGAGTCTCTAAACAGTAAAGTTGCCTAGGACTGTGGCCTACACGGATGAGGACAGTGTATCCTTCTTGGCAATATCGGAGTAACCTTGAGCACAGTGAGTGTGTCAGCAGCTACTGATCAGCAGCACACAAAATCTGACTTATACCTTCAACACAAAGACACACAGTGCCATAATGGTCCTGGAACAATATTAGGAAAATGTGTTTTGCTGATGAAAAGCTTTTTCACATCTTGCCACCTTAGAGAGGTATGTCTTTGTCAGTTCTAAACATATTATGAACTTGAAAATTCAATCCCCTCAAGGATCTGCACAGACACAGTCACTGAGCACAAATATACAATAATAATAATAATAATAATAATAATAGTAATAATACATTTTATTTATAGAGCATTTTCTAGAAACTCAAATACACTTCACATTACGTTAAAACAGGTAATTTCTATTGCCAACACACTGAAATGTAATTAAAACACTCAACAATTAATCAAACATTAAAAGCAGTTCTGAAGAGGTGAGTTTTGATCAGTGATTTGAAAGTGGATGGATCAGTGCAGTCTTGGATGTGTTTGGGGAGAGAGTTCCAGAGGGAAGGGAGTGAAGGAAGAAGGAGTGTGGTGATGGAGCAGGTCTGCGAGGTAGGGGGGGGCCTGGTTTGGGAGAAGGACTTTAAATTGGATCTGTTGTTGGACAGGAAGCCAGTGAAGGTTCTGGAGGACAGGGGCGATGTGATCACAGATGCAGGTATGGCTGAGCAGGAGCGAAATTATAAAAATATAATTATTATATATAATTATCAAAAAAAGGTAAATGTAAAGCCTGAGAATAAAAACCTATAATATCTCAGCAGGATATCTCCTTGTGTCTGTCTTGCATGTGTATTTTAGTAGTACTACTTTCGTTATTGGCATATCCATTATGCTCCTCATCCCGCCCTATTCACTGGGGCAGTGACAGAGTCAAAGAGGCTTTTAAATGAGCCTCTCCAGACAGATACAGCTGATGGAAATATGTTAGTGGCAATGTTCAATTTCAGTAAGGCCCAGAGCCACGTTAACTGGCCCACTTAATCAATACTAGAAGACAGAGGGATGACCTTTGGAATCAGTGGGGCCCTGTGGACGAGGCCCCAGAGATAATAACTGATCATTTAGAAGTGTATTAGCTGTCACCAATATTAAAGGACCAGTGCTGGTCAGCACTCAGGAGAAAACCATGGGGGGGGCTGTTCGTTGAGGGAAGGGTTCCGGAGGTGGGAGGTGGTGTGTGTTTGTGCTGTGTGTTGGATGGTTTTGAATGCATTGTGAGTGCTGCACTGCAGGCGGTCCATGGTGCAGGAAATATCGAAAGGTAAAGGAACAGCAAGCTATTGCAAAAATGTTAAGTGCACAAATGCACAGCAGATGACAATGGCGCAGGATCAATTGTGAGGCTCAAAGAGTGCTAAGGCATATAAGCAGAGACAATCATAAGAGCATGTGCTCACAGAGGCAATAACACACATGTTAGCATGCACACAAACACACACACCAGCACAAAGAAGTGTGTATTTTTAGGGCCCGAGCACTGACTGGTGCATTATTATGATGCAAGGAATTATTCTTTTTCCAAAGGAATTATGAATTATGAATTATGAATGCATTTTTTAGGGTCTAAAGGTGCTTGAAAACCAATGAAACTTCACAAATGCATCAGAAATTGTGAAAATATATATGTTTTATGGGTCTTGCGCAAGGGTGTGGACCCCATGATTAGTTTAACCTAGCAGGGATCAGCAACCTTTACTATCAAAAGAGTTTTTTTGACCGAAAACAACAAAAAAATATAGCCACATTAGAAATGAACAGGGTCCAAGCAGGTTGCACTTGCTTGAATAGTTGACTTGAATAGACATACAGAATCACCACATTGCCCAACTGTTCTGTGACCTTCTCAAAATTAAGACAATAACATCACGTGTGAAAGTGGAAAAATATTTGTTCGCATCAGTGTTATGTTGTTTTTGAATTGCTTGTTTGTGTTTGTGACATAAAGTTAGTTTTTAATTGTGAATAAAACCTGAAGGTTTTAGGTGGTGTTAAAAACTGTTAAAAAGAAAAAAAGTCTGTCTAATAGAATCATAGTAAAATATGAGAGAGGGCTATCAGTAGAACTGTGTTTTTCAGCTTCAATCAAAAGATTGGGAGCTCCTGTGTATCGCCACATTAATTTTACTTCAATCTCTGAGTGTTGCCCTTAGCAACGATCAAACTCAACCTGTGGATCTAACAGGGGACTCACTGGTTGGGCGACACTTTGCCATCAGTGTATGAATGCAGGCGAATGTGGGGAGTGTGGCATGTAGAGTACAGCGCATTGAGTGGTAGAAAGAATAGAAAGGCGCTATATATGTACAGTCCATATAAGGTGACACGTAGACCCAATCCTTGCCATCAAAATGCTCCCAATAGCATAACAGAGCCACCAGATTGAGCATAATTACAGTTGAAACCAGAAGTTTACATGTATAAAAAGACACATAATCTCTTTTTTCTCTCTGTCTGACATTAAATCAGATTACACTTTTCCTGTTTTAGGTCAATTAGGATTACCAAAATTATTTCTATTTCCCTAATGCCAGAATAATGAGAGAGAGAATTTTTTAGACAATGTTTTTATTACTTTCTTGAAAGTCAGAAGTTTACATACATTTCATTAGTATTTGGTACCATTGCCTTTAAACTGTATGACTTGGGTCAAACGTTTTGGATATCCTTCCACAAGCTTCTCACAATAGTTGGCAGGAATTTTGGCCCA